GCAGCAGGAGTCTGAGAGCCTTGATTTAACAGCTCGAATTTGAATTTAATAAAGCCTCAAACAGCTGCAACAAAAAGTGAAAGATTTCTGAAAAGTAACACTGCTAAGTGTGGATAAATTCATTGTACTAATTAATCTTACTCTAACAGTAAAGTAATTCGATTTGAGTATCTTCCACTGAATAGGGCAACATAATGGACAGTGAAATATACAGTTTCCACTGGTAAAGATTATAAATTAAAATTTTGATTTGTGTTTGCTTTGCTTTCAACTTTTAGTATAACCCATGGAGATTAAATTGGTCCTTAGAAGGCACACTACATACAGTTTGGTACCTGAATACAATGACAAACGGACATACATTATTTTTAAAAGTTTTTCAGTATTCCACTGCCTAATTCCTTTTTCTCAGCAAGAAAATTGCAGTTTTCAAAGCATTTGATTTTGCAATGACTTATAACTAAATAATAAACCAACTTTAGAACGTGTCTTTTAGTGAACATATGTTCTCATTCATGTTGGCAGATATGTAAGGATGAAATGTTGGCTGTCAGGTGTACATATATTCAGCTTTAGTAGGTACTGCCTAATAATTTTCCAAAGTATTTTAGCAACGTTAATTAATATCTTGTAATGTTAATGTTATAAAGAATAATGTTTTCTCCTTTTCTACTGATTATTTGGGCTAACATATTGCCTTATATGTTACTTTTTCTTGGAAATGTGGCCTCTATGAAATGAATGTAGATGCTTCTATCCCATTGATCACTGAACTCTGTTCCTAAAGGGAGTTGATACCCTCTGTGGCACCCTCATCTGGAGACAGACGTCCTGAGTTTTATCTACTTTCCTCTGTTATGAGTAAGCTATTTAAACTCCTTGTGTTTCAGTTTCGTCACCTGCAAAATTGGGATAATAATAGCTCCTACCTAAAGGTGCCATAGTGTGAAATAAATAACATGACATATAAAGTGATTCGAAAAGTACTAGACACAATGTAAGGGCCTGGATTATGGGTTAATGCAATAAATTATAACTGCAATAAACTGGTCAGTGGAATACCATTTTATTGCCATTTTTCTCTTGGCTGACTTACCAAAAAGTAATAAAAGAATAAAAGAAGGTCTGCCAGCTACTTCTGGGAAACAGTTGTCTCTCTTTAAAAAGAGAGAGATGACTGGTCATGGTGGCTCCTGTCTGTAACCCCAGCACTTCAGGAGCCGGAGGCAGAAGGATCGCTTGAGCTCAGGAGTTTGATACCATCCTGGGCAACATAGTGAGGCCCCTGTCTCTGCAGAAGAAACACCAAAACAGTTAAGTGGGCATGGTGGTGCATGCCTGTGGTCCCAGCTACTTGGGAAACTAAGGCAGGAAGACTGCTTGAGCCCTGGAGTTTGAGGTTGCCATGAGCTATGATTGCATCATTGCCCACTCCATCCTGGGTAGGAGAGCAAGACTATATCCAGAAAAAAAGAGAGAGAGAGAGAGAGAGAACTGCACAACGAAAATATTTTTGTGCTGCTCTCACTGTAGATTGGAAGTTTTCAGGTGTGGACATGATATCTGGAATTTTGGCAGCCACCTTTGGCCCTGAAGAGACAGGAATGAATAGAAAGCCAGGATCCCAAAATACCCCGACTGAAAAGGAAAGTCTGGTTTCCTGATGACGCCAGAGATCAGTGGACACAACCTGCATTGACCTGCCTTTGCATTTACTCTTAAGTACCCAGTAACCATAACTATTATTAACCTGTTTGTTAGGTGTGCCATGTCTTGCAATCAATGTATCCTAAGTGATAAAATTCAAAAGCCAGAAGGGGTAAAGACATCCCAAGGGATGCAGGAAAGGTTTTTCAGATGTGCCATCACTCCCCCTCCTCACTCCTGAAGAGAGGCTTCAGGAGCAAGCCGACCGTAGCATTCTATACAAATGTACAAGGTTGCAATCAGCGTCTCCTTCATTCTTCCTTCCCTCTTTCTTCCTTTGCTGGCCTCTTTTCTGCTCCTCAAGCACACTAAGCATCCTCCTTCCTTAGGACTTTTTCACTTGCTATTCCCTCTGCAGAAAGTTACTTTCCCCAGATGACCCACACCTTTCTCACTCATGTTCTTCAGGTGTTCAAACATCACCTGGGAGACAGGCCTTCCGTGTGTAAACTAAATCAAGTGCAAGCACTTCCCCTCACTCTCTATTGTCCTTGCCTTGTTTTATAGACATCGGCACAGTCATCACAACCTGATAATTCATTGTTTATAGCCCCTTCCACCATATTATCAACTCTCAGGAACTTTGTTATTTATTTTTTGCCGTATCTCCAACATGTATAAGAGTGCCTAGTACGTAGAGGGTGAACAAGAAAACTTTGTTGAATAAATTTCTTCAACAGACATGGATGAAACACCTATTAGATACCATTTTATACACAAAATACATAAAATAATTATACATTTTATGTATAAAATTATACATAAAATAATTTACTAGATCTGATGAGCTATCAGTTTTATACAGTTAATGTGAAAAGTAAAGATATCTTAAGGGAAGCATAAAAATCATATTCTAGATATAGAATAAAATGCATTATACTACTTTAAAATGCATTCACCCTTTGAAATAAAAATATAAATAGCAAAGAATTAGTGGTGATTAATGACAGTTGGTGATTTATAAGAGCTCCCTATTATTGCAAATTCAATGCTTCACCAGCTTCTGAATTCTCAGACAGATATGGATTAATTTCTATTGACAGAAATAGCAAAGTCTTTATTCTTGGGTCTGAAAAGGAGTTTATTTTAGACTAAGATGTTTATGCATATGATTCATTTCCTAAAGCCCTGAATATTAAGACATTCTATGGTGTGTTCATAAAAACCCTGCTTTGGAATCTCACTTTGGCATTATTTGATACCTGTTTTCAGGGTCTGTACCTTCCTGGGCTTTTGACCCCAAACCTGACTGTAAGATGCTGAAGAGCAGACACTACACCTTTACATTTCTTGCAGGCCCACAATGCATCCTCAAAGTGAACACATGTAAAAAGTTGGCACCAGGGATGTGCTGAATCGGGAGGAGGTACTGCTCAGTGGATGAGACCTAGGCATGGAGATCAAACAAATCAAGGTGAGATTTCTTCTCTGCCTCTTACTATCTGTGTGACTTTAAGCAAGACCTTGTCTCTTTAAGCGTCAGTGTC